TATGTGATAGCAAATTTCACAGCTGCAGACTGCTGTAGTCTGGATAATAAACCACTGGATAGATAATACTGCTGATTTCAACCATGGACTACCGTGGCAACGGTGGTGTGCAAGTCATGGACAGTTCAAATTCCTTTGTTTAAATCTTCCAGCTGAAATGCTTTGTTCTTATATTATGACCAATATACAAAAAAGCAGTTTAAAAGTGTATGTATAGATATATCATTAGCTCAAAGGTAGTTAAAATAACGCCAGAGGCTGGATCACAAATTTCACAGTAGCAATGTGTGGCATTAATATGACATATTAATATCCTTATGGTAGATGATTAAGGCAGGAAATGGAGCTTGGTGAATTAACCTTCCCTAGAAGAGCGAAACACGCTCCTATAAATTGAACTAAATTAATGCAATACATTGGAATATTTCCAACTCTGTCTTTAATGCAACAGGCCTTTTTCTTTTTTTTTAAATCATAATTATATTGTAGATGAGTAATTAGGACATATGAGCCACTCAGCATGGATGTGTAAAATAGAGCGCATCGCTGATTATGAGCATTTCATAAACCTAAATGTGACAGTTGATTCTTACAGACAGCCTAAAGATGCACATAACCATGTTAATACCTCTGTTATACCTCTTCATAATTTAATTTTTTTCCATCTGGGTGTGTATGTGCAGAAATATCATGCATCTTTAAGAATATTACTTTAAATTGATGTTACTGAAAAACAATTCTTCCCAAATGGGTTAGAGCTTTCGAAGGTTTTTCATATTATATCCTAAGGTATTTTAGTAGGATTCAATAAAAAATTGTCCCCCTTTTTCACTTCATCATACAAGTCACACATTATTACCATTAAAACAAGCTTTAAAGACAGTCAAATCTCTTTGAATAAGTAGCAATGTGATTTTTTTTTCTTGGAGTTCATTATAAACTATGGTTTACCATGTGACTCACTCCCTGGAGTCATTATTCAGATTTTATTTAAGTAGATAATAAGTAAAAAGTTAGGAACACTGCAGTGTTCTACCCCTGATGTAGACATAGAACAAAATATTGTGATTTCAGATATTAGATTGATTCTAACGATTAAAAGAAAGCTCTAAGAGGTAAAAATGAACCCCAACCCAACAAACAAACAGTTCACGCAGACTGGTAAATTATCCAGCCAAGTTGACTTACTGTAGAGGATACATGAGACTTTAGTCTGTACAATCACATTATTGATTCTGCTGCTAGAACTGTTAGATCTTAATCCTGATAAAGTTGTCGGATTTATGTCTACTTGCATGACTCGTGAATTTGGCTAAAACTGCATAATGGAATTTAGCAGAGGTTTGACAGAAATGTACTTGAAATGTACTGACCGCATGGTTTTACTGCAACCAACTCTTGGTTCTTGGTATACCAAAATCAATTAAAACAAAGCAACACAGAGTGAGAAAAGATATAAAGTCAGGGCATTCAAATTTTTCTACCTTTAAGTTCCAGCATGAGGTCTGAATAGCTGCAGTATAAATAACTTATATGCTTTCCTTTGTGTTTTCCATGGTGATCCAGTATGTGTGGGTTATTTTCTAAGTGACATGAGCCCGATTCTGATCTCACTGACTTAAGTTAAAACATCACTGATTTCAAATGGTCAAACTAGAAAATGAATTCTTATCTTAAGCCTGTCTGTTCTTCATCACTGATAAAAGAAGTAAGCCGTGTTTCCAGCTATTGTCTGCCAAAAAGAACAGAAGCCCTTTAGATCTGCAGTCTGAGTATGCTTACCATCCTACATAGACCTTGTGGCTTCAGGACTTATCTCTAATGTAAAATGAAAAGCCCAAAGAAGACTAATTAAGGGCTGAGACCAAATTATAAGCAGAGAATCAAGACAAAATGAATCAGTACACAATTTGGTCTGCTTTTATATGACAAACTTCTCATATAAATATTTCTGCATTAAGCATAATCTTATCTTGGACTTGATCAACTAAGCAAACTAAAGAACATCCTCAGTTTCCACTGCAAATGAAAGTTCAGAATATCACAGAGGTCAAAGCAATGCCTTAAGGAAATGAGTTACAGATTTAATCGAATGAATATCAGTCAATAGGTAGGCCGTTGTTATATCAGCACAAACCTTGCCTTTCTATCTAGATTAAAAATGCTGTGTTAGTTGTAATAAAACAATCTACCGAGAAAATTGTTTCATCGCTAAGTGTTAGGAGTTTAAAAAAAAGAAGTTACAAACCAGGCTATAGCTCACAGCACAGCAGATTTATAGAGTCCCCTGCAGCTGGCTGCACATAGGAATAGAAACATTAGTTTCTTCGGGGGCCAGGTGAATGTTAGGCTTAGGAGCCACATTCCAAAATGAAGGCAAAGCTTAAATGGTAATTTATATAGTCGATCTTGCAGAAAAACTTTTTTTGCAATATTACAGGGGAGAACAGAGTCATGGAGTTGTCTGCAAAGAAAAATGTTCCACTAGAACTGTGTGATACAAAAGGATTAATGGAAATAATCTTCTCATTTCAAAAACACCCATATGATAGGTGGATTCCAGGTTCAAAATGAGAAAAAAAGTTACAACAGGGCTTTTGCTAGTGGTGTTTAACACAGCTCTTGCTGCTACTGGTGCAATGACTCAACAGTCCATGAAAATCTATTTTTTATCTATGTATCCATTCATTTGGCTCTTTTCAAGATACATGTATATACTAATATAATTCATTACCACCTTATGATTTATGATTCAAGCCTCTCTAATTCAGATTCTTTACTTCACAATTCTACATGTTAAGACAAATCCCTAATCCCCCTGGAAAGTACGCTGATCTTCCAGTTCAGTTTTCATTGGAAAAGCAGTATTATTAAAGATCAATGGATTTTGCCACAGTCCAAAGGATATGCGTGAGACACATGTACAGTATGTAAACTAGGGATAGGGATAATACAGCACAACACTCCATTCTGAAGAATAAAACAGTAGCCAGTACTAAGTAAATATTTTGCATTCTTCATGTATCAATAAAAATTCCACCCCCCCCTTTCCCATTCTTTCTGAGTTATGCATATAATACAGTGGTTATTACCAAGCACGGTCATCATAAACGAAAAGCCATCCAATGTCATACAGAGCACTAGATAAATTTTTGTGGGGCTTACCAGTTCTAGGAAGAATACCAAAAAAGAAATGTTCCATTTTCTAACCATCCTTTTAACTTCAAAACAATGAAGTGCTTTCAAACACTATCTAGGATTGATTTGTACTTTTCATGTGTAAGATACTCCAGAAAAAAGAGTCCAGGAAGAGCTGCCATGTCATGCATGTAGGGACTGTTAGATGTATCATGCAGAGAAAGAGCATTCCACACAAGGAAATAACCTTACCTAGCAAATTCTCCACCCTGGGCTTGTGCCTGGCCTGCAATTGCATCCATGATAGCATCTTGGGAATACATGCTGATCGGGGTGTTATACTGGGCGTGAATTATAGTAGCCTTGCCGCCTAGGCCTTTCACCTCAATGGGTTTGTGTGTAGACAGGGCAGAGTCCTTCAGGACATTGGGGTTGAAACGCTCCGTGAACTCCGTGCTGGGTTATGGAAGAGTGATGTTCGACAGGGAAGGGAGGGGAAGAAAGGAGAAAGGTGTGACAGTTAAGTGAGAGAAAAAGCACCAACGGAGGAGTGTGCATGTCTGTTCATGGCATCCCACCACAAAAGCTTCTGGTCAGAGGATAAGAGACAACATAAGTAACAAGTAACAGTTAAAAGCTGGCTGCACTCATGGATGACATTTTTGTGCTGGCTCACAGACGTATGAAGAGAAAAAAAGGTGAAACAGTTGTCGTTTTATAAAAAATCATGACAAACCCCTAAGTATTATGTGATACTTGCATATACTAAAATTCTATTCTTACATGCATATATACATACAAGTGTATACAAACATACACACACAGAGACACATATATATGCATGCCCATGGACGTACATACATACTGCAGAGAACTCCCAGTTTATTCACTGCATCCATTCATTCTTTCGGAAGGGTCTTACAAAGCGCTAGAAAGTGCAATGGGGTGAACAGGTGTCAGGTCCTCTCTTATTTAGAAGGTTCCAGTACTTTCTGTCTGGATTATTAATCATAGTGAAATTTAGTACTTGCGCCTTTTAATCCTCACAGCTTTCCTCACAAAGACAAAATTAATCTTCCCAAAATCTCTGTACAGCCAGCCATAAGTGTTGCTATAGCATGATAAATGCTCAGTCTCAGATCAGAATATCCTCCATTGCGATCAACAGGACAACTGCAGTTGGAAGAGTAGCTGCTGTATTTGCCAGTGGCTGCATTTATGAGAAAGGATTTTTATTTGAGAAATGGAGCCATAAGCAAGTTAACTCAAGCTCCCATTGCAAAGGAACGAGTCAGTTTAATGTTGGACTTCAGCTGAAAAGCACCTGGCTTCCTTGTAGCGCCTAGCTGTACGTTGTTCTAGTCCTGGAGTTAGGACTGAGTATTGCCTGGAGTTTCAATGAGCAAACTAAAACCTCAGCTGTCAGTCACTGAAGTAGCTGCTCTTCTCTAACCGACGGGAGATCAGGTGAATCTCCAGTCCGCTGTTCCTGTCCTGCCAGCAGCAGGAGGATGCTGGCAGTATAGATTCCATACACGCACCAAACTGGGCAAAACTGAGAATTCTGTCCTTTGGGAAATAACAGATATTTCACAAGGGTTTCATTTTGAACTGAGCCCAAAAGCTGGAAATGGATATATCTCCCCACCGAAAGAAATTCTGAAAAATGTAATCCAGTTTGAGTGGAACAATTTTCCCTTTCAGTTTAAAACCATTACACCATAAGTTTATCAACTAATACTAAGTCTTCTGCTGATTTTTTTCATGTGACTGAACAACAGCTCCTCTAGTTGGCAAGGGAACAATAGTGTGCCTGTCTGCTGGGGGTTAGCCCCAGAGGGTGAGTGTTAAAACCGAACCCTCAATCCGGCATGGAGGAAAAAGAAAATCAAGTAAAGCTGGCAGCCATTTGACTTAATCTTCCAGAGATCATCAACGGTGATGTGCCACCTCTGAACCCAGCCAGGGGATTCCACTATGTTTTCCGCCTTTTCTTTGGTGGGATGCCCTGACTGAAGATGGACAGTAAGACAGACACAGTCACACATCGTTCAAAACACTTGATAGAACATTGACAGCCACATGCTCAAGGAACAGAGACATAAATATGCACGTGCTCTATTACAGCCACAGCCTTTAGTTACACACATCAACATTTTAAGGGAGGGGAACCGGGAAGCTGCATTATGCATTCAAAAAGTGAAAATCATCTTTTTACAAAGACATTTTCACATCTCTCTCCATTAACTATTCATCAACTATGACAATATTATTATTACACTGACATAATCTATTGAAGGGTGATGTGCAGAGACGTGCAGGTTTTTACACCCTCGACTTTTCAGCATGCACATGCCTTACTTTAACAGTGGTATCTCTTTTCTTTGTAATACCCTAAACGATCACACAATAACTACTAACACACAGGTCCTCGCGATCTTGAATTTAGTGTTCTCTTTCCTCCCCCACTGTTAGAAGTATTGAAGAGATTCTAAACCCAAGATCTGAGAAGATTGTGTGAATGAAAAGACAGAGCTTAACTATGCCACTTTCAAGGAATAAAGTTCAAAGCAATTGGTTTCCACAATCAATTACAAAAATAAAAGCCAGTAATCTTAGAACAGTCTAAACTTCCCTAACGGTAGCAGCGGTAGTGATTTAGGCTCTCACTTGTGGTATTTAAACAGTTTCAGTGACGTCTTTCAAGAGGTTTTAGTCACATTACACATACCAAGGCAAAACTTTCACTGAAGTTAACAGGATTCCCATAAAAATAAGAGAAAAGGGTACAGATTTTCAACTAGAGAGTTTTCTTTATAACTCTGGAAGTAAACAGTAGATATTAGTGCTTGTGAGGGGTGCTGTGCACTAGGACAAAGTGGAAGGGGTTAAGACCCTAGAGACAGCAGGAGCACCTCTGCAAAATGAATGGGAAAGCTGGAAAAGGATCAGGAAAAAGAAATCCCAAAGCAAGTGAGATTAAAAACACCCCTATAATGTGACTTCTGCTTTCTAAGGCAATTGTAACAGAATAATTATCAATGTAAATTGGCTAGAGTTTCATCACTCCAAAGGAGTTACATCATTTGCATGACATCACACCCACACCTTATTGAAATCAACAGAGAATGCCAGATCAGTGTAAATTATATGCATTAAATATTATTTCAACTTTATGTATTCTACTACTTCTAACCTTCTCTTGTCAGTTTAAATTTGACATTTAACTAATATAATTATTTATTTTATGCTGAGTTTAACCCAGTCTCTCCAGCAATTTCTGGACAACACTCAGTTCAGAGACAGAAAGTGGGAATTCAGAGACACTCCTCTGCCCTTAGAAAACTAAAGATCAAAGCTGAGGACTCTGTGAACTTTCCTAAATAAAGCAGATCAATCACATTTTCAAATCAATAATTGCTTCTTGTTTGGGCAATATGCTTACTAACATAAACTACTTTTTTGATTTTCCGTATCAGTATCTCATACCAACCTAAATTTGAGTTTTAGTGGAGTGGGACTTTGGAAATTAATTTAATGTTGACGTTAAAAATACATCACTAATAATACACCAAATAAGGCTCAGATAAGGCTCCACAGATCCTGAAGGCATGAAGACTACTTAAAGAGTTAGGAGGAATTAAACCCGGTCTGTAGAGATGAAAACATCTGAAAGCATTTATAAGAACTGAGCAAGCTCAGATGCTAACTCCATTTGCAGCATTAGAACATCACCAAGAAATGCTGAACACATGGTGTGCTTAGAAGAGAGCACCGCTGGACACCAGTGGCAGCCTGTGACGCTTGCCGTACCAATAAGATTTTTTAAAAATATTTCCACTTGCAAGCAGACACAGCAGGAACACGAGGGATCATGCTACCCCAGAAAACAAATCTTCACACATAGAGCATAACACAAATACTTGGCACTATATAGAAGCGATACTAACTTGGCAGCAGTGTTGGTTATGACCTAAAAGAAGAGAAAGAGAACAAACAACATCAAAACCAAGCAAACAGAAAAAGTCAATAGTTTTTAGAGTGCAAAGGGCAAAAGGTATTTACAAAAGCTTACTAAAGCGTTTTTTTTCAGACCATCTACAAATAAAACAAAAAGTAAATGTATGCCTGAAAACACCAACATGATTAAGAAAGGAAAAAACGTAGGGATTATAGTTGATCCATTGGGACTTAGTAGGGTACCATGGCATTTTGGCTGACCCTTGAACATGACTTTATTGCTGTGCATCCCTAAAAGTACTGTTATCAAAGCGTATGGGGGGAGGGAGCGAAGGGAATAAAGAAGCATTTGCAGAGTATATTCTCATCTGAAAATAGCAAATGAGTGGTAGAGATTATATTCTTTCCTCAGATACTAAATATTCAGGGATGAAGTCTGTTCTCCTCAGGCCGCCCTCAGAGTTGGTATTGCAAGATTGATTTTTTGGTCTTTTATATGCTGGAGAATATCCAAAGAATATATTGGTAGCTGTTTTAAATCTAAAACTAAGGAAAATGCCTTTGTATTTAACAAACTATTGGCCTAAATCTGACTGTACCTACATTATGCCAATAGTGGTGTAAGCTAATTAATTTCAGAATAGTCATTCCTAATTTATTCCATGTGAAATGAAACAAGTCCGTGCATTATGTATTTTTTTGGATATCCATATCAGGATATTTTATTCTATCTGGTATGTACACAGTATGAAAAAACATATGTTCATGATACATCCTGCTTTGCTGCATAAACAAGAAGTGACAGTGGCTTGCACAGTAATTCCAAAGAAACACAATACAAAACTCAGCGTAGGCCTTATGCAGGCCAAAGCTGGGAGTGATGAACAGATAGTGTGCTCAGACTGTAATATCATATTATTTGCTAATAACTCTTTCTGTTGGTTGCATGAATAGCATTAATGGGCTATGACATTTATTTTAACTTATTTTTTTCAAAGCTTAGAATACCCATATTTTGCTCTTATATTCCTGGGTGAAGAGTAATTCATCATATTTTCCGCAAAATAAAAAGGAAGAGAGTCCAGGATCAGTTAATAAACATTTCTTCCTATTTAGCTGCACAGAATGTTGTCGACAGAACTGGACACTGAACCTTCCAACTTGCTGCTGTAACATTCTGTATCTGGGATTGATACAAAATACTGGACAGCAACGTTATACTATGAGAATGACATTCAAAGTGGATTTGTCTCCTGCTTTCGCCTTGCAGAACCTTTGATATTACTGCTTCTTTTTACATACAGTCCTTTTGCACTGGCTCATCCAGCTGCCTTTTTCATGATCAAAAACACTCTAATGAGCCAAAGCTGCAGTAAAGGCTTTGCACTTCTGCATTTCCATGGAAAAGCAATCACAGATCACCTTCTGCAGTTACTGTTCTTCAAACTCTTGGATTCGAGAATATTCTTCTAACTTTATAAACCCTACATTAAGCCAAATATATCAGTCTGTTACAGGAACCAGTAGAGATATATCAGGAACAAGCTGTAGCCTGTAAGCACATCAGTGATCCTAGATCCATTTTAGGTACATGCAGGACAGCTGGGCACTCATTTACAATGAAACATAGTGTAATAGTATCATTATCTGAAGCGGACTCTGACGCCTGCTTTAATCTTCTAATCCAGGCCTCTGCCTTACACATAAAAAAATATTTTAAAGGCAGAACCATCGTCCCTAAAAAAAACCTTAATTAGAGGAACCACTTGTTTGCATATAAAAATACGTTCAAAGATAAAAATCATCATGTGCACACACTAAGAACAGCTCAACAGCCACATGTCTCAGTAAAGATTTTTTAGATGTGAAGAGGCTACTATAGCTTCCTTCAAAAAGAGTAAAGCTTTACTTCTCCTTATGTTTAGCATGTGATGAGAACATTCTCTCCAGTTCAGAGCCACACATTGTTTTAGCTTGATTCCAAATACGGACATGTATGAAACACCCAACTTGCTGCTCACAGAGGTCATGCCGAAGAAGATAGTAACCCAAGCCACCTGGCACGTACTTGCGGGACAGGTATTTACTGCCCTTATCCTACAGTGAAAAATAGCTTACACTGGAATGAAAAAGAACCACATGTTACAAGCTACGACTCTCTCTTCATATTTATTAATACTCCCCTCTCCAGAGCTTTCAGCACACCAAGTTCCACACTCTTAACAGGCCACATCTATTTTTCACCCTGGGCCGGGGTGATAAAGCTTTAATGTAAAAGTGTATCAGAGAAACGGATGCTTTGTTATTCTTTGCAGATCAAGGAAATAATCTCAAAATAATTTTAGCTTTCTGATAGGATTTTCCAAAGGGTTTAGCTAAACTTCTAACAGCAATTCACACAATTAAGTTTAAATGATTTGGTGAAAAGGACACCAAATTGAAAGATGAAACATACCTTAAGATCAACAACCAAACCTGAATTTTCTTATAGCTTTTACCATACCGCTAAGAGCACGTTCATGAACGCATAATAAATTCACAGTTTTGGAGCACCATAATTTCACAATCTTTACGCAGCATCTCATGTTGTACTACATGAAAAGAATGTCCACAACAAAGTCCAGAGCTGATTTTGCAGAGCTCACAGTGCTTTCCTTGTGCACTCTTTCACATATATCCACAATGAGATCGAGACTATCATGGATGATAGCAAGTCCCAAGGTGGTTACAGGTTCCATGTTACTCTCCACAGAGCAGTAGGAAAGATGCCTCTCACTTCATGGACAACGCTCAGGTGGGAGTGGGAATGACAGGATTACTGAACTCTGAATTTTCTCTGCATGTAAACAGAGATGTACAATTCTCTAAATCTCAGAGGAATTACCTGAAAAGACACATACTTAGTAGTTCTGGGCTCTTTTGTCTTTTCAGATTGTTCCTGGGCTGCAGGACAAAAGCTGATTTTTTTTAACAGAACATTTAGATGATTTCTCATAAATTTTCTTAGTTGTTTATCAGTACTACAGATATTACAGGCAAATAGATAGCAATTGCCTAAAATTTTGTTCAAACTAAAAAAAAAAAAAAACCTCAGATGGTTGTTGTAAGGTAGAACCTTGCTTTGTATTTCAGTGCGCTGCCACAGGCGTGTGCTAACGTGTACATATAAAGGAGACATAAAACATGGAGAAGCGGCAGAGTGAAGGACAGTGAAGTGTTTTCTGCAGGTACGCCTTTTTTGCACCCCAGCAATCACTGCCATATTATGTAGTCCTATTGCAATGCCCTCTGGAATCAATAGAATGGTTCACATTGACTTCGGCAAGTGGTGGATGCAGCTGTGTTGTAATTTTGATAACAAAGAAATAGTCAGAATGCTGAGCCATCCGAAATACAGCCCCTTCACCCTCACCCTTGCAGATGTTAAGGAGGGTTGTGAAGATAGTAGGAGAAAGATAGTGAGATATACTCCCAGGAAACTCTGCATATTAAAATAAGACAAGGATTAGTTTTCCTTGAGAAAACTGTAAATTAAGAGAGAAGCATTCTAAGGTTTATTTTTCTGATCTTGCTTACTAACTGAAATTATTTTCTTTTAAACACTAATTGCCTTTCTTAATTATCCAGTATGAGAAGGGACGATAGGATTTTTTCAGATAAGTTAATTAGGATTGTTAATGCCGAGTGCTCAACAGAGTTATAATGAATCATCTAAACCGCCTGAATCATCCAGAACATATGCTCTCTTGTAAAGCTAAAATACCCTTACTTCGCTACAACTTAAAACCCCTTGGTTTTTCTCTTGCAAAGAGCTTCTGCAATGGGATATAAAGTACTTGAAAATATGCATTTGCTATCAGACCTCGAGTGGATTGTCTCAATTTTCTGTTTTTCCTCATATAGCCAAGTCCCTAGTGTCAGAAGTACACTGTTTCCCATATTCATAATAATAAATTTATCTTCATTTTAAATAAACACAAATAAACAAATTAGAGATTTGTTTGCAAATTAATACATGAAGGCGGAAAAATTAGGAAAACTGTTTCTCATTGCTTTTTCTCATGTATTGTAGTCCAAGCTCCTCACTTCACAAACCTACTAGAAAAACAGTTGATCTGCAATACAGTAACACTGAAAACCTTGACAGCATGGGATCAAACTATCTGGGTAGTATGTAGAGATCATTCCTTGTTACATACAAGTTAAGAGCAAAGCTAAGGGATGTGAGACAGACAATGTTTAAACCAGAGGATTCAAAATATTGCAGTTTTGACTCATTTTGTGTAGGAAAGCCAATACACTAAGGCAGGAATTATAGTAGGACACTCCAGTAGACTAGCATGTCAGATTTGCTGGTCAAAGCAATTTCTCCTTAGGAAAGTACCACAGATCAGATCTGTTTTATAGCAGCTTCTATAATGGCCGACAGCGATACTTGGTTCTATGAGACTACATGCATTCGTTTAAATCGCTAAATGCCAGAACCCTGAGATGATCACAGTTACTTCAGTCACAGTGTTCCTCCTCATGCTCTGGTGACTATTGCCAATCTATATTGCAATTCAGATACCAAAGACCAAGAGTTATTCTGTAATGGTACTGTGTATATGTTTTTGGGGGTACTGGAAAATTTAATGATCATTCCAGACCTTAATCATGATTACCAGGCAAATGCACAATAGGGTAGGTACTATTACATTCATTTTTCAGCAAAGAAATATTAAATATTTTACCGTGTTACCTACCCTCTAGGAAGTCCACCTTCCGAAGCCCTTCGATTGAGACTTAATTTATGCATCTCAGCCATTTCCCTTAGAGTCTCTGCTGAGTAAAGGCCAATAGGGTTGTTATACTGCCTTGCAGGGCTCAGCTGGTGTAAAGGACTATTGCCATCAGTCAATACAGGGCTTAGTTTTGGACCTAGAGTACTCTTTGCAGGTGAAATGTCAGGAGTCACAGACTGAGAGGACATGGAAGATCTAACTGTGGTAGTCTTTAAGTAGGAAGAGCTAT